TCCTCTACTTTCAGTTTTTCTTTTTTCCCCCACCCTGATTGGGGGGGAAAAAAAAATCCCAATAGACACATTGTCAAAACTGAAATATTTCCTGACAATTTTTAGTTTTGACAAATTAGCATTTTCCAAGAAAAAGGCTTTCTCTGAAATTGTTTGCCAAAAGCTAATTAAAATTCTATTCCAAGTGATGAGTAGCCTTAAAAAAAAAAAAAAAAAAAAAGGAAAAGAAAAAAAGAAACACCTCGGATTGGTGCAGGTTCTCTTAGCTCCTTGTTTACTCTGAAGTTTTCAGAGTGAAACGAGAATGTGCAGTTTTGTGTTTTCAGCCTTTAAACCTGCAGCTTTAGTTGCTGCACGAGAGCTCCTTCCTTCTCGCTGGGCAGGGGAGAAGAAGGGCTGCAGCTCTGCAGCTTGGCCTGGAAGTGCTATTTTAAACAGTCATATCAGCAGAGCTTGCTGTGGGAGATAATATGTCACGAAAGGGAGTATGACATCTAGTTTCACCTAGAAGATAAACCTTGAGTAGATATGTAGGGAGAAACAAGACTGTCAGGTTGTCCTTGAAAAGAATGGCCTATATTAATGGAGAAATTTACTCCAGGGCATACGCTGCTTGGGATGTATAATTTCATCTTCCAACTCATCTGATCTGCTGTGAAGAATCTAGCAGAGAAGCCGCAGTTGTGGATGGTCTCACACATGTCAGGATTTCATAGTGGGCATCTAACTGCTGTATTTTCCGAGAGGTCACAGCCTCAGAAAATCATATCTGACCAAGCCGGGGCTCTGGCTGAGCAGTTTCACTCACAATATTAATGCCAACACTGCACAGTTAAGCAGGGCTAACCTGCTATCACATACCACCCTTCTGCATAAACTCAGCATCTAATACACTGTCCTTTTCCTAACAACCCAAAATACCTTTGCAGAACTGCGTTCTGCTGATAGAATTGCAAGATAATTACAATTAGAGGTTTTGCATTAATTTACGTTAATCTACTGCTTTTATTCTTCATTGCTTTAACCAGGCAGGAGGCACTTCAGTTGTTGTCAGGTGGATTATTTTTCAGTTGCTCACTACACCGTTCTTCTTCATACTTGTTAGGACGTTTATGGCTTCTTGACAGACACACAAAGAAAAATACTTATATGATCTAAAATGAAATATGTGTTTCTCTTTCAGGTCTAGATGTTGATGGAATATACAGAGTTAGCGGCAATCTGGCAACAATACAGAAGTTACGATTTGTTGTCAATCAGGGTAAGTGATTCCTCCACCCTGGTAATGTTTTGTTTAGTACTTAACTGTCTCAGATGACAGTATTTCAGAATCTGCTATGCATTAGTGGCAAAGAATGATGAGCCATGTTTTGGAAAAGAGAGGAAAGAGAAGGTAGAAATATATTGCGCAGAGGGAAATGTCAGGTTAGGAGAGAGGAAAAGCAGCGCAGGAGGCAAAGGAAAATGATAGTTCAACAGGAGATGAGCAATAAAAAATAGGAGGAAATGGATAACTGAAAGAAGGTGGCAAAAACAAAGCATAAGTAGAAATCAAAGTATCCAAGTGAGAGAGAAAAAAAACTAAAAGGAAAAAATGAAGATTGTTTTTATGTTAAAAGTTAAACAAAACTAGAAGTGGAACAGGGATCCAAAGAAAACCTGAGAAGGAGGAAAAAAAGTGATGAAAAGAACTAAAAATGAAAAACGAAAACTGGAATATGACCTCTATCAAAGTTCCCAGAAATGAAAAGAAAAATGATGGGAAACACGAGAAACACTGCATTACATTAAAGAATATTTTAATTTTTCACAGACATGATTTAAACCAATCTAACATTGGTCACTAGATACTCTGTTACGGGTGTGAAAACCAATGTTGATGCATCACGAATACTTCTGAACAATTTGGAACTTTTGGCAAAGACTAAACATGCAGTGTCCACATTCGATAACATTGATGACAGTGAACCTCATAATCTTGTTTCATGAAAAAAAAACATAATGAAGCAGCTTGGAAATTAAGGTCCCAAATCTTAAATTGTGTTAAATACCTCATACAGTTTTGAATTCAATATGTATAAATGCTGAAGTACTACAAATTTATATTCTACTATTTCTTAACTCTTTCTATTACCAGGACTCCTAAATATTGTGTATTTGTGTGTTTTTGGAGATGCCCTAGAGAACAACTTGCCTAATTGGTTCTATACTATAACTAAACTAAGATCTATACATAAACTTTGACTGGTGACTTAAAAACTCTTGTGATATTTGTGGTGGCACATAATAATATTCCTGCCTTCAGACATTTAGATTTACATTTATAACAAAGGTTTCAGGGCAGTGATATATATTCACAACCTCTTTAGCTGCCCAAGATAAGTCCAATCTTTAGCTAGAACTGGATGGATATGAACTCCGATTGATGAGAAATTGATATTTGTATCAGTAATTTCACTGCGACTGACATCAGCCTCATGGTCGTGAATCCTTATTTGGGTCCCTTCAGATTTATAGTCGTTGGTTATTTGTGTGTTGATAGTGTTGTCTGATTTGGCATCCAAATCACTGTGCACTGTATTTTGTTTGAAGACAGAGAGGCAAAACTAGGATTTTCTATCCTTCACTCCCTAGGATTTTTGTTCAGCAAAAAAATCTGCCATAAAAATAATGGTCCTGTCTATCATGCCTTACAGCATCCAAAGGTTAACGTACTTGAGGTTAACAGTACTGCTCAAGTTTTCACCTAAAACAGATGGGCTGATACTGTAAAAGCCGGACAGAAGTGTAGCTAGGGCTTTTTTTTTCTTTTTTTTTTCTTTTTTTGTAGCACAGAAATACAAAGCACTTTTTTTCTGGTTCATTCCACTGTGAAAAATGAATATGTAAAGACGAAATTAATGGTACATTAAAGCCACTCTGACGTTGTCTACTTAGGGCACATGCAAGAAATCTGACTATTGAGTATCCAAAGGAAATTCAAAGTAAAATAGTGCCTCTGGAGAACTATTTTATCTTTTTATCTGTTGTGATAATTATTGTTTCTTATGTTAGCTTTTGTTGATACAACTAGGGCAGTCATGCGTTTTATATCATAAAGGAATAGATTTTCAATGGGAAGGGAAATTAGCCATTCAGACTCTTATATATCTTTAAAAATCTCAGCTATAAAAATTGCTGCCCCAGCCTGTAGTTAGTGTTTGCTCAAGAATACACATGCAAAAGTGCCAAAGTTCTTCTCCTAGAAACCCCACAATTGCAATCCTTGCAAGTGGCGTGAGGAAATGAGGCAGTTTAGTATTCCATCCCCAAAAGAATAATCCAGTAATTTTTTAATTAGAACATTCAAGAAGAAACACAGCCACAAAGAATGGCTTTAAAATATCAGGCCACAATTTCACTTGTTGAAATAACATCCTTTCTTTGTGAGAGGTAGGAAGTTGCGGGCTGGGAACACTCTGTCCATGGAGTCAGTGGGGCTATATGGATATATATATATATATGTGTGTGTGTGTGTGTATGTTAGCATCCTGCCTGATATTACCCTGGCTTCAGGCTGCTGACAGGAAGCTTTGTACCTCCTAATCACTAAATGGACTTCAGAATAGCTTGAGCCACAGCTGGGGGGATGACCTGATGGCCCATCAGGCCACGGTGGTGAAGTTACAGGGGCACAAAGTTGGTGAGGTAGCACAAAGCGAGCGGAGTGAGGGGATCCCATCATCTTTCCTCCATGGGATCAGCTGTGGCCCAGGAGCTCAGCGCCAACCTGCCCGAGAAGCTGCTGTGGGGACGTGGTGGGAACCAAACTAATTCCAAACTAACTGCGCTTGGGAAGGCGCTGGCGTGAGGTGTCCCCATCAACACGACGATGAGGAGGGGGAGAGAATGGCTTATGTTTATTACACATATTCACAAAAGTTTCCAGGATAATATGGTATCTGCTCATAATCTCCTTACTTGCCAATCTCCTAAACTTCTCCAATGGGAGAAGTTCTCCAATGTTTAATAATGCCATTACTGCCTATCCCTTTTTCACTTGGTAATTATCCTTGGTAATTATTTCTTGGCTCAGTCTCGGCACTTGCATTCTTCTGCAGTTTACACTGGAAAAGCAGTACTTTTATATATCATTTTTTGGTTATCATTCCAGAATGGAATTTTTATTTTAGTGCAAGTTTAATTATAAATGCAAGCAAATGTTCTAAAACAGCCTATTTACTTTGTAGAGCTTGACTGCATGCTCAGTTCTTAAACAAGTGAAATACCTAAGGAGCCATTTCTTTCAGCTGCTGTGTTATACCTATATTTGTAGGGCATAAATAATATTTATGGCACGAAAATGGAATGTCATTGAATAGATTCTGCTGTATCAAAATATTTGTATTAGAATAATCTGAGAGCAAATCTGCCTTTGCCCCCCCTTTTTTTTTGTACTGCGTATGTCTTCAGTTGCATCAAAAATGGAATAAGAGAAAACCAGGGGAAAATGAAAAGAAGACAAATTAGCAAATGACAGCTTTGTTGTTAAGGAAGTCTGAAGAAACAGCAAAAAAAAATCAAAAGGCAACTTTAAAATTTTGAACTAGGGAAGGAGGGAGTGCTATAAAAATCATTTCTCATATCTGTACCATTTTTTAAATTCTCAGAATCTACTTTGTGCTTCATTATCATTTCTCAAGGTAGGCAGCTCCTCAAGAGGGCTTTGACCTTGCCACCAGAGCAACATCAGTACAAACTACCTTATTTACTTTTATCCCTTTCACAGAGTTTTATTTTTCTATAAATATCTATTGATATCACACCTTTTTTACTTCTCTGCAACAGGATTATCTTTTATCTATGATTTATTTTCCCATTAAGAGCTGAAAAGATCACTTGATCATGAGATGGCCGGGCTATAACATCTCTCAGCACTTTTGAAACTCTAAGTCATCATTTTTCAAACCACTGAATCAAGGGGGTAGAAGCTGTTTGGACCACTATTGACATCAAGACATTCATACTTTTCTTGGTCTATAAGTATTGTTTGCAGAAATTAAATTAGCAGTAGTGTAGTATTTCTACCTATGAACCTATGCTAAAACCTTCTATAATAGTTAGAGACCTTCATTCCTCCTCTACTTTTCATATTATTGGTCTAGCAACTGTGCTTTAAAGTATATATTTAAAAAGGAGGGTTTTTTGGTGCTACTTGGAAATTTGGGGGAGATTTTAGGAAAAAATCTGAAGGACTTTAGCTGATGTTAAGCAGCTGCAGACATCACAAATATTTTTCTTAATATTATCACTTTAATCCACATCTGTAAGAGATGGGGTGAGATACTGCAAATAGGCTCATTAAGTCATGTGAAATGTGGTGGTTTGAGAATATAAGAGAGATGTCCACAACATTAATTCTTTTGGTGCCAAGGCTGAGCTCTAATGAGCTCTTGGCCAATGGGCAAGGTGTGGTGGAGACCCATGTGGGACCATTAAGGCCGTTAATGTCATCAGGACCCTGAGAGCAGCATCTCTTGCAGCTGAGGAGATTGCTGTGGTGTGGAGCAGAGCATGGTAAGTGCTTGGGGGAGTGTTTCTGGGTTGAGTAAAAATAATCGTAGAGGTGCAAAAATGCCCAGGGGAAAAAAAAAATGAAAATAACTTGAGGGTTTTTCAAGCTTCAGGATATTGGTGTGGGGAAAGCACAAGTGTGAGCGCCGGCTCTGGTCTATGTATGGAGACTAGAGACACAACAGAGGGGAGGTAGAAGCTGGCTTCTTTATGCCTCCTACGCTAATCTCCTGAGCTGGCAAGGCATTCAATTTCTAGGACTGTCAAACAAGCAATTTTCGTGAGTACTAAATTAACTGAAAAAATAGAGCTATAAAGGGTTCATAATACATTGCTGAAGCACTAGAAACCTATCCTAATGCATATATGTTCAGGGAAACTAACCATAGAAATACAAATTTCAATACTTATTGGTTCATTCAGCAAGTGTTGGTTCATACATAATACAAGAGAGTTCCTAATTGTCTTTATATCCAATGCTTTGTTTGCAAAATGCTTGGTATTTGCAGAACAGATGACCTTTGGATCCCGTTATTTCATTTGGAATACCTTGTGTGTTAACTGCAAAACACAGTGTACCGTCCAAAGGTCAATTACTGTGTTTTTACTACTCAGTTACTATACTTATGTATCACAGGAGAGGGGAAAAAAAAGAACAAGAAGAAGGAATAGGAGTTTTTTTCAGATGCCAAATACTGTGTTATTGCAGAAAGGTACATTTTTTTTATGGCCTGTGTAAAAGGACAGACGAAGGAATTTGAGT